CCTTATATTAGAAAATAAGATCTGAAATCAGTAATTTAAGCTTCCTTCCAGCTTAAGAAACAAACAAAAAGTGCAAATTAAACACAACACAAGAGGAAGGAAATAAAGAATAAAAAACAATAAAACTGAAAACAGAACAGACAAAAGAAACCAATAGAGAAAAATCAACTTCTTCAGTCTAGTTTAAAAAAAAATTTTTTTTAAATATTTTTTTTCCTGATTGATTTTTAGAGAGAGAGAGAGAGAGAGAGACTATTCCACCTATTTATGTATCCTTTGGTTGCCTCTTCTATGTGCTCTGACCAGGGATTGAACCAGCAACCCTGGAGCATCAGGATGACCCTCCAACCAACTGACCTACAAGGCCAGGGGAAAATCTAGTTCTTTAAAAAGATAAAATAGATAAAACATTAGCCAAACTGATACAGAAAAGGAGATAAAATATACAAATTACCGTATTAGGAATTAAAGAGGGGATTTATCACTAAGACCCTATAGACATGAAAAGAATACGGAATATTACGTATAATTTTTACCAGTTAATTTGATAAAATTTGGTAAAATGCACAAAGTCCTTGAAAAACAAAAACTATCAAAGTTAACTCAAGAATAAATAAATAACTGAAAACAGCTCTGTTTCCATTAAACTAAATTTGTAGTTAAAGCCTTCTCACAGGAAGAACTCCAGGCCCATATAGTTTTACTAGCAAATTCTACCAAATATTTAAAAAAGAAATAACACCAGTTCTGTGTAAACTTTTCCAACATATAAACACTTACCAACATATTAAGTCAAAACAACATAACGCCAAAAAAAATATAAGAACAAGAAAACTACAGACCAATACCCCACACGGATATAAGTGCCTTACAAAATATTAGCAAATAGAACCCAGCAGTTTATGAAAATAATAATATATCATGAGCAAGTGGAGTTCATCACAGAATCGAAAAATCAATGTAATTCACTATATTAAACTAAAAAAGCATAATAACCATATTTTAGTAGATGCAAAAAAAAAAAAAGCATTTGACAAAGTTCAATTCTCATGATGAAAACTTGCAGCAAACAGAAGGAACTTCCCTTAACCTAATAAAGAGTTATCTATAAGAACCCTATAGTTAGTATCATATGTAATTACAAAAACTTAAATATTTCAACCATAATATAGGGAACAAGGCAAGGATATCCAGTCATCATAACTATTCAAGAAATAAAAGACATTTAGATTGAAAAGACAAAATTCTCTATTCATAAACATAACTGTCTACATAGAAAATCCCAAATAATCTGCAGCTACTAGAATAAGTGAATTTATCAAGGTTGCAGAATGCAAGGTCAATATACAAAAATCAATTGTATTTTTATATACTGGTGGTGAAACTAAAACTTAGGAGAAAAGAATAACCTTTTTAGTAACATCAAAAATCATTAAGTAGTTAGGGAGAAATCTAATAAATGTTCAAGGTTTGTATGCTGGTAACTACAAAATATTGATGATAGAAATCAAAGATGATCCAAATAAATGAAGAGCTATATCCTTCTTATAGATTAGGAGACTCAATATTGTTAAGATGTCAATGTTCCCCCAATTCATCCAAAGATTCAACTCAATCTCAAAAGACCAGCAGTCAATTTGTAGAAGCTGACAAAGTGATTCTAAAACTTATATGAAAAAGCAAAGCACCTAGGATAGCCAAAATAGTTTTGATTAGAATCAAGGAGAGGACACAATCTAACTGAACTCAAGACAATATAAAATTAGTCATCAAAATAGTGTGATGTTGGTATATGGATAAAAACATAGATTAATGTAACAGAGACCAGAAAAAGACCCACACATATATGGGCAATTGCTGTTTGACAAAGGTGGAAAGATAAATCAATGGGGAAAGGACAGTTTTTTCATTAGATAGTATGAAATATGTTTTTTAAAAAACAACCCTATACCTTACCATTAAACAAAAACTCATTCAAAACCAATAAAAGACCTAAATGTAAAACCTAAAATTTTAAAACTTCTATAAGAAAGTTTAGGACATAAGTTTTCCATGACCTTTTTTTATGCAAAAATTTCCTAAATATAAAACCAAAAGCACAACCCATTTAAAAAAATTGATAAACTAGACTTCATCAAAACTGAAAACTGCTCTTTGAAAGATACTGTTAAAAAAATAAAAGACAAGTCACAGACTGAGAGAAAATATTTGCAAAACGTGTATCTAATAAAAGGGCTTATATCCTGAATATATATAGAATTCATAACTAAGTAATAAAAAACAGCCCAATTTTAAAACGGATGGAAGGGGCAAATAATCTGGACAACACTGAGCTAAAGGGAGATACAGAGCAAATAACCACCATGAAGAGACATCAAGGAAGTGCAACTGAAAATTACAAGAGTCTCCTCCCTACATAAGGCAAGGACTAGACTTAATGACTCACTTCCAAAGAATAGAGTACATAAAGGGAGAATCATAACTTTACAGTGGTGAAACTGTAATCATTGCACTAACCAAGTGAGGAAGGCTAACATCATCAGTGTCTTGAAGATATTATGTACCTCCTGACACGAGGTGACGAGAAGGTACTACATGTCTGTGGTATTCTTCGACAAAATCTACTACCTCTAATCATGAGAAAAACATCAAACAAACCTAGATGGGGACATTCTTCAGGATAGCAGGCCAATACATCTCAAGACTGTCAAGGTCATGAAAAACACAGACAGAAAGGACTGAGAAATTGCCACATTCCAGAGCAGACTGTGACAGAAAGAAAACATTAATGGAGAAACTGGTGAAATCCAAATAAAGTCAGGAGTTTAGTTAATAAGTAATAATACACTCATGTCAGTTTCTTAATTTTGACAAAAGTACCAGGAAACAAAGTCTCAGGATATTAATTAATTACAAATTGGAAACAAGTGGAGAATGCAGCAGATAACCACCTTAAGCAAATGAACCAAGTTAACATCAGCAATAATAAGACACATCAACATCAGGTTGTCATATCCCTGAGAAGCGCACAATACCATTTTGCTATACACATCCTCAATATAATCATGAGAAAACACCAAATAATTCCTAATTGAGAGATATTTTAAAGATAACTGACCAGTACTCATCAAAAGTGTCAATGTCATGAAAGACAACAAAAGACTTGAAGTACCATTACAACCTGGAGGAGACAAAGGACACACAACAACTGTAGTGTGAGATCTTGGAAGAGAAAGGATTACTAGTGGAAGACAGGTAAAATTCAAATAAGGGCTGAGGTAAAGTTCATATTATACAAATGCTGATTTTCTTATTTGGTAATTATTCTATGATTATGTAAACTTAGGGGAAGCTGAATGAAAGGCATACTTGAACAGTCTCCTAACTGCTATTTTTCCATAAGCCTAACTAATACAGAATTTTAATTTTAAAATATATATTATATGTCAATTACATCTCAATAAAGCTGGAAAAAAATACAAGAATGTCTGATTCTTAAGTGAAATCTCCAGTTATAAGCCCTAAATTACTGAAAGCTATGTATTAAAATATTTTAGCATCTATTTTGATTTCTGTAAGTCTATGAAAGAAATGTTAAATTTTTACACTACTATTTCTTTACAGTTAATGAATTTATATGGCATACTGGAATATTAGCAAATTGAAAAATACATTTTATTCTAAGCAATTACTGTAACATCCTTTAAAAACGTAAAATTTTATGGGGAAAAATATCAGTTTTGACCACATGTTAAAAAATATAATTATTACAGCAAATCATTAACATTTAGGTTTACTAATGCTCCATATTCAAATATATACAATAATGCATGGGGGAAAAGGGACTATAAAAAGATTAAGCATTCTTATTGCTATCAAGCTGGAACCAACTTGCTTTCATTAGATGTAACTAGACAATATCAAAACCAAGCAGTAAACCAAAGTAAGCATAACTCATTCACTATTTACTAGACCTTTATCAAGTCCCAAGCACTGTCCTAGATGCTGGAGATTCGGAAATGATTAAATGGTAGAGGCAAATATAAAACCAGTAACAGGCTTATTTAACAAATATTTATTAATAAAAAAGTAAAAGATAATACCTACCTTGAAGAATCCTATCCCTTTTAGATTATTAATGAGTTCAAAATTTGCCTCTCTAAAGTACCATATGGCACTAAATATAATTCTGAGGGAAACTAAAATCTCAAATCAGTTCAAAACTTTTTACTCAACGGAGTTCAAAGATTAAACTAGGCTTAAAAAAATGACAAATATATACTTTCAGTTTACATTAATGGAAGAAGCCACTCAGTATGTTCTATTTAATTAATTAATTTCTAATATAATAACCACCCCTTTAATTATGATCCAATTTTTTTTTTCATGGAATAACTGGGGTTTTTTTCCCCTTTAAATCTAGTGGGCACCGAATCCTATGTGACTATTTCTCTCCTTACTTAGAAAAAAAAAGCATGAAGCAAATTCTCAGTCCACTTCTTTCAATAGTGAATATCATGAAGATAGTTAAAGAGAATAGTCCTCATGTTAAATGTTCTTAACACAAATACAAAAAACAACAATAACCAAAAAAGAACATGAGAAAATTTTTGGAGGTAATGGATATGTTTTGTACCTTGATTGTGGTGAGGTTTCACAGGTATATGCTTATGTGCAAACTCATCAAAATGTATATATTAAATTGTACAACTATTTGTATATGAATTATACCTCAATAAAGCTTAATATGCTAAATATTATCAATAGTTTCAGAGTATTTTACCAGAGGACTCTTCATCTTATTATCCTACCTTTATTTTTACCTGCTCATCTTTGTCTATTTAATATGTTTTTATAATACTTACCTGAAATCAAATAATTTAATATGTATAACTTCAAAAATTTTGCTGTTTTTTTGCTCAGGCCAGGTGGCTCAGTTGGTTGGAATGTTGTCCCATACACCCAAAGGTTGCAGGTTTGATTCCCATCAGGGTACATACCTGGGTTGGGGGTTCTATGTCCAGTCAGGGCGCAAATGGTAGGCAACCAATCAATGCTTCTCTCTCACATCAATGTCTTTCTTTCTTTTCCTTCCTCTTTCTCTAAAATCAATAAACATATCCTTGGGTGAGGTTTTTTTTTTTTAATTGTGCTTTTCTATGCATAAAAGTAAATGGAGATCTTTCAATGCCAAGTCAAAGGACATTATTCAACTATTTGAAAGTGAGAAATACCCCAAAATTACTTTACCTGCATTAAAATTTACAATTGTACAAAATGTTAAATGGAGTCTCGGCTCTTTCAAAATTTAAACTAGTCTCACCATATCTCCTCTATTTTTTTTTTAATTTCTTGATTTTAGAGAGAGAGGAAGGGAGAGAGGGAGTGGCGGAGGGAGATTCTTGTACGTGTTCTGACTGGGGATCAAACTCACAACCTTGGCTTATTGGAACGATGTTCTAACCAACTGAGCTACTCAGCCAGGGCTCTCTTCTTTTTAATTACCCATAGTACTCTGTACTTGTACCAAATAGTCTGGTACTTAATTATATAGTAACACCAAATATTTCACATTTTGAAAGATTTTTCTTGTTAACTTAAGCATACCTCTTTGAGAATCAAAAGGGCCAATACGCAAAATGAAAACATGCTCAACATTATTAGTCACTAGGGAAACGAGTATGAAACTCACAAGGAGGTAGCACTTCACATCCACAAGGATAGCTTAGAATTTTTAAAAATGTTTAACAGAAGCCCTGGCTGGTGTAGCTCAATAGATTGAGCTCTGGCCTGTGAATGAAAGGGTGCTAGTTTCTATTCCTGGTCAGGGCACACGCCTGGGTTGCGGGCCGGGTTCCCAGTTGGGGGTGTGTGAAAGGCAACTAATCAATGTTTTTCTCCCTTTCTTCCTCCCTTCCCCTCTCTCTAAAATTAAATAAAGTCTTTTTTTTGAAAATTTCAACAGAAAATAACTGTTATAACAGATGTGGAGAAACTGGAACCCTTGTGCATTGCTGGTAGCAATGTAAATAGTTCAGTTGTCATGGAAAACAACTGGCAGGCAGGTGCCTCAGTTTTGATGAAGGGCTTGTAAATGTCTACTGTTCTGGAGACATGCATCCTAAGATGATTCCATCCATCAATGGTAATATTTAATCATTCAAATATTTAATGCCAACCATCTTTGAAAGGATACACAAGAAATGTGGTTGCTAGTAGGAAGGGGTATAAGGTCGACAGAAGACAGGTGTGGCAGGATAACTTACTTTCCATGTTACAACTTTTTGTACCTTTTAAATTTTATACCATGTATAAGTTATAACTTAATTCTAAATAATTTAACTTTTTTCTGTTATTTAAGGCGTTCCTGATTTTTAAGGCAAAAGATGCTGATTTTCCAAAGACCAATCGTGTTCCTAAGATACAATGATAGAGATGATGGAAATGTTTTGTTTGACGAACTTTTTTCTCACTGGCCTTCCTTTTATAGAAAGCCTTAGCTCTGCCCATTAACTTCCTGTCAAAGTACTGTCAGCCTCTCAAAGATAAGCCCTTCCCTTCCAAGACAGATAAGAAGGCAGTTTTAGAGATCAGATTTATTTGTTTCCTTTAATCTTCCCTGAGGTTTTCTTATAAAAATCCCTACCCCTGACTCAGCCTGCTATTTAACTTTGTCCCTAACAGCCAGGCTCCCCGGTACTGATTACCCACACCACCATGACTGACAATTCATAAATCTGAAACAAAATTCTAAGTGTAATAGAGAAGTAAATCACATACATTGGTATTGCATGTACAAAGAACTGATGAAAGATTCTCAGACCCAACACTATAATAAATAGGTAGCCTTAAGAGAATAGGTTCAACAGAGTGATAAAGGCAGAAATCAAACAGAAGGTGGTAAAAAACAGAATTAATGGTTAAGATATAGCAGCTTTTAATCTATGAATCATTAAAAGGCAATGAAATAGTCTAAACTTGTGAAATTTCAGGAAAAAAAATCTTAGAGAAAAATGTTATATACAGGAAGAAAACCACTGCTAATTCACTTGTCTAATTAACAATATTTGATTGATTAGTCAATCAGGAAGTTTTTTTTCGTCCCTCCACACTACTGCCAAGTAGGCGCCAGCAACCTAGTACAGCACAACTAGCTCAGGCTTTACACACTCCTAGCTCCATCACTTACTGCCTATGTGATCTTAAACAAGTTATTTAACCTCATGAATATCAGTTTGCAAAAAATTAAAATAAAAATGTCTTAAAGTACCGGGCACACAGTAAACGCTCAATGAATGGTGGCTCTTACTACTAAGCTTTTGCTATAAATTTCAACATAATTCAAATTTTTTTTAAATTTATTTACTTTTTAAATACATTTGTCTCTGCCTCCCCCCCACCTCTTTCCCTTGCCCCCTCCGACCAAATTTTAAAAGATTAAGCTATAACTCAACATATGACAAATATTTACCATGGTTGATATATTTCAGTTCTCTTCAGGACACACAGAAGAACTTCCTTACCCTCTGTGAAATCTCTAAGGTCATACGACCTGCTTTGGCCAATGAACAATAAGCCAAAAAGATATGACCCTGTTCTAGGTATACACTCAAGAAAGCCAATGAGTTATTAGCAACAGTCTCCTTCCCTTAGCATGGAGATCACAGATCCATGTGCTGAGACGGAGCCTCCATCAGTCTGAGACCTTGGATATTGAGAACAAGCAGAATCCACTTACCCATTCACACTATAAACATGTGAAGCAAAAAATATTTGTCTTATTAAAAGCCACTGAAATTTTTGAATTGTTATGCCAATATAACTTGGTTATTCTTCCTATACAACCAAAGCCAAAATCATTACTTTTTCGTTTCCTTGCAAAATAAAGCCACCCACAACATATCCTTTCCCCTACCTCTAGTAAGCCCCCAATTCCATCAATTTTTCTGCCTTCATCTCTCAAATCCATCACATCAGCTCTACTACTTATCTAGACTTCTGCAATAACCTCTTAACCAATCTCCCTACATATAATTTCTGCCCATCTATTCTCCCCAGTACATCCAGAGGGATCTTTTTAAAACACGTATCTGATCATATCACACTCCTGCTTTTATATGAACTCTTATCAATTAGAAGTCCAGCAAAAATGGTCCTTCAAGAAATAACTGTAAGATATGCTAGAGATTCCATATCTTATTATGTATGGTGGTTACATGAGTGTATACTTCTGCAAAAATTAAACACATAATATTTACGAGTATGTACTTTGCTTCCTTAATTATGCCTCCATTACTTAAAAAGAAAGAAAAAAGATATGGCCCCAAAGTACCTTTTCAGCTTCACTTTACCAAATATCCAACCCAAATCACATGCATAAGCCTATAGCCAAAAACTATTAGTTTTCACCCACTTAGATATTGATCTTTCATGATCTAAGGTGTATAATAGTATATAATACCCTTTCCATTCCTACTTTTCCTCAAGATCCACATAAAAATCTCACTCCTTCAGGGATCATCTCACCTGAGAGATGTTTTTCCCTTAACTCTACTTCACTTGTGCTATACCAGCTCTCTGTACATTTGACTTACTGTAACCTTAGCATTCACTACACCAGTGGGTCTCAGTCAGATGTGGCTCTGTCCCCGGGGGACTTTTAGCAATGTCTGGAGATATTTTTGATCATCACAAGTAGGGGGAAGGAGTACTACTGGTATCTAATACTGAAAAATATCCATACCACACAACACAGATCTCCATAACAATGAATTATCCTACCTAAAATGTCAATACTGCCATGGTTGAGAAAACCTGCACTGCATTATTGCATATATTTGCAATTCTGTACCCCTATTAAACTGGAAAATGAAAGGGATCAGGTCTTACTCATTTCTGTATCCAGGCACATTACTCGAGCAAAGAACACTTAAAAATGTATAATAAATAAATGTGTAATTACTGAACCTATTTTGATAAAGAGTGCTTAATATAGCACTCAAAAGATTATATACTATATACATATGTTATTACTAAATCTTATTTCGATACTAAAGCCATATAGCTTTCTGGCTAAACTGGTAGTCTAGAAATTTAAATTCCATCAGTAACTATTTTGACTTGGTGTTTTCATAGTGCATACCAACAAATCATAACTCTTTCTTCATACAAATAATATTTTTCCAGTTATACTGAGAAATAACTGACATACGTCACCACATACATTTAAGGTATACAGCATGATGTTGTGATTTACATATATTGTGATGGTTACCACAACAGATTTAGTTAACATCCATCATCTCATACAGACACAATAAAAAGGAAAGGAAAAAAAATATTTCTCTTTGTGCTGTAACTCTTAGGATATACTCTCAACAATTTTCCTATACACCATGCAACAGTGTTAACTATAGCCATCACACTATATATTATGTCCCTGGTATTTATAATCTTAGTCCTTACCTTTTAACCACTTTCCTCCAACACACCCACTCTTTAATCCCCGCCTCAGTTAACCACAATTCTAGATCCTTTTTTCTGTGAGTTTGGCAGGGTTTTGTTTGTTTTTTTATTAGATTCTACATATAAGTGAAATCATACAGTATTTGTCTTTGACTTATTTCACTTAGTATAATGCTTTCAAGTTCCATCCACATTGTCACAAATGGTAGGGTTCCTTTGTTTATGACTGAATAACATAACATTACATATATAATATACACCACAACTTTTTTATCTATTCCTTCATCAATGAACACTTAGGTTGTTTCCTTGTCTTGGATACTATGAACATGTCAACGGGGTGGGGGGGGTGCAAATATCTTTTCAAGTTAGTGTTTTCATTTCCTTTGTATGTATTTCAAGAGAAGGAATTGCTGCATCATATGGTAGTTCTATTTTTTATTTTTTAAGGAACCTCCATACTGCTTTCCATACTGCTTATACCAATTTAAAATCCCACCAACAATGCACAAGGTTTCCTTTTTCTCCACATCCACAACAGCATTGGTTTTTTATTGTCTTTTTGATGATAACCAGTCTAACAGGCATGAGGTGATATTTCATTGTGGTTTTAATTTGTGTTTCCCTAATAACTAGTGATGTTGAGCATCTTTTCATATACCTGTTAGCCATTTGTACATCTTCTTTTGAAAAAAGTCTGTTCAAGTCCTTTGCCCATTTTTAACTGGATATTTGGTGTTTTGCAAAATCATAAATTATAACCTATGTAAATATCTTTAAAAAGTGTTAAATTGAAATTAATTTCTATATTAAGCATGAGTAAACCAAATAGCTCAAGATTATGCTTCAAAAGATTTTTAAAAGGACACTGAAAAAAAAGTTTTACTCTTATATTATAATGCCAACCGAGTTAAGATAAAGTAACAGATACTAAAACTTGGGATATCATTTCACCTAAATTTAATCCAATATAATTTATGTTAAAAAACAGAATGGTGGTATAACTTAACATATTAATGGCCATAAACAATTAGACAGTTTTTACATTATTTAATAAACATTTCATATCATTGTCTATGACTAGATTTACCACCTCAAAGACAGTCATAAAACACATTTTGAATGTTTAAATACTGTATCTATTTCTCCATTCTTCCATTCTTACCCTAATATATTCCAGGCCATCGCCTAGAAGGTTGAATGAAATTCTGTATTTACTATCCTCTTAAATTAACCAGATGCCTTATTAAATTGACTCATTTAGAGTAGATAAGACTATAAAATATTGGGAGGCTAATTCTCCAACTAAAGGTAAATTTTACATTTACCTTCCACAGCCCATTCTTGTTGATTAAAATGTTTTTTCAAAAATCATATTTGGGCCCTGACTGGTGTAGCTCAGTGGACTGCATCAAAGGATCACCGGTTCAACTTCCAGTCAGGACACATTCCTGGGTTGCAGGCCAGGTTCCCCGTAGGGGGAGCGCGAGAGGCAACCACACATTGATGTTTCTCTTCCTCTCTTTCTCCCTCCCTTCCACTCTCTCTAAAAATAAATAAATAAAGTCTTTAAAACAAAAATCACATTTGGCCCTTCTTACAGGCACAAAATCCAACTCAACTCTAATACTAAAACTACTAAATGAAAAAAAAAAAACAACAAAAAATATCCACCACTCTTATCATTTATTTGATCATTAAATAATATCCAGCATCTACTTCATATGTATTCAACCAGAAAGAGAAAAATTTCATTTGGTAATAATTCATTATTTAAGATTTCAGTATATCTTGTACTACAGTAGTAAACTCCCTAGTGAAACTTATTCTTCTAATTTACCAAATTATCAAATACATATTAGAAAAACAAAATTGATATATCAATATTTTAAATTTTCTCTGAAACTATGCTATTCTAGAATGTAGTTCTCTTCAACCAACTTACTAAAGATTAGAATGTTTACATATGCATAATCAGTTAAATCAAAATGTCACATAAACAAATATCCATATTCTATACTTTTTAATGCTAGCAATCAAATTCCTCTACTATAGGATATTTGTTTCCTAAGTAAAAAATTTTCACATCTTTTTCTTCTTAAAATCCTTTTTTTCTTGATTAAAGTTTTATAGCATTACTTAACAGAACTGAACATTCAAATATAATACACAAAAACATTCTGTCAGTACTGAAACTGACAAAAGGATCTTTTCATTACTCTATTTTCAAATTATTTGTTTTTCCAGATAATAGAAAAATTATCATATCTCAAAGAATATGAAAGTGGGGCACATTATATTGTCTCTCTGGGACTCAGAACCCTTTTGAAACAAATAAACGGAAATACAGTATATCTATAATGTGATGGTCCCGGTAAAATATCACAATCATCATCAACCATGTACACAGCATGAGAATACTTAAAAACTACATATTAAATACTATAACACAGAACCCTGAAACAAAACCTACTGAAATACTATACTCCTGTAATATAATGGTCCCTATAAAACATCAGTCATCACCTACCATTTACACAGCATGAGATTACTTAAACACCATAACACATGCAATACAGAGTTTCTGTGCCACAATGAAGAGTAAAGTTTTCTTATCAAGTACAATATAGGTTAATTAGTAATTTTAGTCTTTACAATCAAGGATATGTATTCTTTTGGCAAAGAGACAAAGCCTTTCCAACTTTGAGTGACACTAAATTCTCAAGTGTAAAAAAGGAAAACCTTGACCTTGTTTAATAATGCTATTCATCAACTTTTTCTGAAATCTCTTTCTCAGTCTCAGTGAGAATAAATTAGAAATCAATCCAAAATACAAACTAGAGACTCATAACTACCTCAGTGAGTGGATTAAAAACATCAACTAAAACATAAAGATATGGTTAGATGTAATGCATTGAAGCACACTGAAACTTTAAAAGTACAGTTGACCCTTCAACAACACAGGTTTGAACTTTGAAGGTCCATTTATACGTGAATATTTTTCAATAAATACACCTTCTATTTCTGATCTGTGGTTGGAAGTATCCACAGATCTACACCATTTTATATAGGGGACTTGAGCATCTGCGGATTTTGGTACCATCAAGGGGTCCTGGAACCAATCCCCTGCAGATACCAACAGACAACTTAAGTTTTAGGGAAATCAAATGTTGTATGTGAATTTTCCATACTATGCAGGAGGTCAACACCCCTCACTTACACATCATTCAAGGGCCAACTATATATTTAATACATTTAAATAGGCACATAATAAATCTTATTAAAACATATACTGCAATTAATATTTCTTAATTAAATCTGCCAAATAAAAATAAAAAATAGTACCCTGACCAGTGTGGCTGAGTTGGTTGTCATACTGCAAAGGGAAAGGTCACCTGTTCAATCCCAGTCAGGGCACATGCCTGGGTTGTGGGCCTAGTCCACAGTCAGGGCAGCATATGCAAGCGGCAACAAATCAATGTTTCTCTCACACACCAATATTTCTCTCCCTCTCTTTTTCTCTTCCTCTCTCTAAAAATAAATAAAATCTTTAAAAATAAAAATGTTTCTTAATATGTTCCAGTTTCTTTTAAATAAAGTCTGTAATTCATGAGAAACTGTACTCATACACATAAGATGTGACACTACATACGTGATAACACATGTTCCCCAATATAGAGACCTCAGAAGTTACCATCATCATACTCAAAGTTGCTAGTAGCTTGCCTAGGATCTTTTAGACAGAGTCCTCAGTACCCTACCAGCATGGGAAAGGTAAATATGCACAACATATAACTATGAAACAGGCTAGCAACTAGAATCAGGAGAGGCTTGAAAGCAGAATTGTTAAAAAGAAAACACAAGCAAGCATATTCATACTTCAAAGATATCAGATTAGAAGTAAAAAGGATGAAGGGAAAAAGAAATTTCAAAAATATTTAACTGACTACCCAGAACACACAAAAATACAGGAAAAAGATTCCTATACAATACCTACACTTACACGCTCTGATATTTTCCATTATTTTTCATTTTTAAAAACTATTACTGTGACCCACCCACTAAATTGAATTCACAAGCCACTAATGGATCACAACTTGAGGTTTGAAAAGCTTTGGTTTACAGGAACTGACAACCATAGGAAGGTCTTGCTTTCCTATGAATATCTAGTTTAAGAAAACTTATCAGGAGGTGGAAAGAATGAGAAGGCAAAATTCCTGCAGGGCAGGAACCGTGTATTACTGGCACATAATCATCACTTAATGTGTGTTGAATTAATACATTATAGAATATAAAGCACTTCCAATGTGAAGACATACCTACAAAGGATACCTTAAAAAAAAAAATCCCAAATGCTTAGGAAAGCACGAATACTTTGCATGCCTTCAAAACTAGGGATGGTAAAAAGAGTTCCAGTCAGTAAGAGTGATACCAAATGACCCTTAAACAAATGAGGGACCAAAGGAAAAGGAACTATGTCCTTTAGGATAGGCTTTATACCCAGCACAGGAAAAAGAAAATCTCTTGTAGAACTACATAGCAGTCCATTATAGGCACAAGTTTGTAAGCACCTTAGTCAGTGCAGCTAAGTTGCCTGGAGCATCTTCCAGTAGACCGAAAGGGGAAGGGTTTGATTCTAGGTCTGGGCATATGCCTGGGTTGCAAGTTCTGTCCCCAGTTGGGTTGGTCAGGGTTGGGTTGGTCAGGGAGGCGACCTACCCATGTGTCTCTCTCACATCCAGGTTTCTCTTCCTCTCTCTCTCCCTCCCTCCCTTCCCTTCTCCCTACAATCAGTGGGCATGTCCTTGGGTGAGGATTAAAAAAAAAATTTTCTAAGATACTCTTGGTTAGAAATTCTAACCATTTCTTTCAAATATACGTCAAACTCCAAATGTATAAATCCAACTTCAGATCAAAATTATAGAATGCAATTCATTCTTAAATATTAAAGCCCCTGTATTCATTTGTAAACATTTATATAAGCAGCTAGTGTGTGACAGCCAAACACTTAATGAGTGCTTACTATATATCAAGCAGTACATTAAGTACTTAACAAGAGTTATCCCATTTAAACCTAACAACCTTGTAAAGTGGATACGACCTTCATTTTACAGAAGCGGAAAATGAGGCTTAAAAAGTTACATAAAGAAGTTACACAGCTAATAAGTGGTGGAATTAAGATATATTAAGTGCCAATTTTATTATTATTGGTGGCTGCAAATCAGAATATTTTGTTCCATTCCATTATTTGTAAGTGCTTTTCTCAGAAACTAAACTTTGTATATCTTTCTGAATGAAGTGATTCATCTACTTCTAAATCTGTGTAAGACTATCATATTGAATGATTTTATAAAAGGAAAAATTAGCCTGGGCTGGTGTGGCTCAGTGGATTCAGCGCTGGCCTACAAATTAAAAGGTTGCTGGTTCAATTCCCGGACAGGGCACATACCTGGGTCCCAGTTGGGTGTGTGTGAGAGGCAACCAATTGATGTTTCTCTTTCCCTCCCTTCTTCTCTTTCTAAAAATAAATACATTTAAAGAAAAAGAAAGAAAAATTAGCCTCTTCTCAGCTTTAAAGATAAGTTAGAGGCCAATTAAATGTAGTTATCTGTAAGTGACAATATTATGGACACTAGCATTTTTAACAAGCTATATATCTATTTATTACGCAAAGTACTTGGTAACCTGTACTTCTTTACTTATTTATTTACACATCAGGTACTTGAATTTTGAAAAACCTTTCTACCTTTTATGGGCCACTCATTTTGTCATCTGCTTCTAGCACAAATGGAAGAGACTTCTGATATAGAAATGTGTTACCAAATGTTCACAGATACATCCCATTTGAAAATAACTGTTTTTAGTCCATCCATACAACTTTTTAATTCATGTTGCTTTTTTAGTAGAAATGAGACATCTTTAATGAAATTAAACAATTTTTTATCACTAAAACCTAAAATACTTTGACCCAACAATGGAACACAATGGAATGAAATTACACAAATTTGTATCTTTTTTACTTACATTTTAGAATTTGAAATTAAAAAGTATCCCAGCCACAAACAGGTAACAGAAACTGAAAGGCAGAGGAACACACACTGACATTCTGTTTAATGAAACTATCCCAATTTTATGCAAGACGTGATTACAGAAATAACATTTTTGGAAGAGATTCATTCATATATGATCCTGAACTGAATAGCAACCCCTTAACTTATACCAAAAAGCTCTTAATCAAAAAGGTTAAGTCAGTATGAATGCAATTATTGTTAGTAACAGAGACTACTGAAAACCAAAAAGACATACAATGGAAAAATTAACTGACTTTAATACACAAGCCAGTCAAGGGGGGGAAAACATGTTTATTTCCAGGTAATCAGAATAACAGATTGATCTCAACTCCTGTTTCAATGCCAGTAGTTGGTCCCTAGATGACTTTTAGATTTACTAAGTATTAATACCTATTAAGTACCAGCAAATTCTTAAAACAAATTATATGCTTTATGGTTAGTGAAGAGCATGCAATCTTTCTGGTATTCTGTAACTAATCAGTTTCTTTTTTATTAGTGGGATGGCATCATAACATGGGACCAAGCATGTGCTTTGATATACAGAAAGCATGTTTTATATTTAACATTCAATTAATTGCCATATCCACAGTTCCCCCCCAAAATCCTTATTATAGAAAATACAATTTTCTATTCAGTTCACTCATACTTTTGGTCTGGTCCACTGTTACATTTCTAAAAAACCTCTCAGAGTTTAAATCTGTTTGATTGGAAAGAAGTTTAGTCACTGTCAAGATAATCTTAAGACTATTCAAAGCCTTTAAAAATCCACTTGATTCTAAAACATTCCTCCATCTATAAAACATGAGAATTATAACCAAATTAACAAATCAGAATCAGAATGCCAAAAATTAAGTCATTAAAAGGGAATCCAGAGAAAGGGCCAGTTGTGAAAGAACAGGAAGTGATGTACACTGCCATTTTGTAGATGAACTATTTAGTAACAGAAGAAGTACCATTCTAATCTGAAATCAACCAACCGAGACTAAGAGCTCTCAGTATTCTCTTTCTGACAGTGGCATTAGAGGTCGGCTGAAATAACCCTCCAGCAGTTTTTCCTTAATAATGAATTTATCTAATTGATCATGAACATACTTTTACAACTTTTAGCAGAATTCCTCCCAGCCACGGAAAACAGGGTTCCTTTTTAGTTGTCTTTAAAGAGTACCTCTTTTAGTTTTAACTTGCTAAATGTAGCAAGTAGTTTACCCATATCATGTGTACTTCCTTAAGGTTTGTAGCCTTTATTGATAAATCTTCTCTGCTTGCACCTTTCCAAGATAAAAAGTCATTCTTTACTAATCAGTATGCTTGGGTTTATACATGCTAGTATATACGAATTATCAACAACAAACCGTAACACAGAGAAGTAGACTTTATGGAATAATGTGCCATACGGGGGGAACTTCACATACCACAATATACAGCTTTGTGCCATGAAATAAAGACTTAAATGAGAAATGCTATTAAAAGTTAAAACAAATCCAGATAAAAATCAAAATAAAGTAAGGAGAATTCCATTTTCTAAGGAAAATATAATAAACTAATTTAACATACCATTAATGTGTCTCCCTATACCAAAGTCATGACATAAGATAAAGGAAACTAAATTAATGACTAATGCTCCTACTACTAACATCTTTAAATCCCTGCTGAAAACAGGTTTCAAAATGCAAAAGAAAAAAACACCAGAAAAGCTATTATAGACAACATTAAATATAGATGGCACTGGAAAGTATTTAAAAATAAGTAATTCACTAAGTGAAGCTTAAACACCAAGTACACCTTCTTAGTAAAATATCAAGGCAACTCGTATCTGTACATACATATTTTAATTATTTTCATTGCTTTGTGAAAAAAATTTAATTCTATGAATATTCATATGTGGAACATTTTGCAATCACTTCATCAGTAAATTTAAATACTAAAGAAAAATGTAGCAACAGTAGACTTCAAGGCTACTTTGTAACAAAATACACTTGGCAACATTTCCAAAGTGTCATTTTTTTAATTTTCTTTATTTCTACTCTACTAAAGGACAAAACCAAGTACTACTATAAACCAGATAAGAGGACTTGTCTTAAACAAATACGACATGAAGCAAAAGTGGAAAAACGACTTATAGACTACAAAATAGAGATCCTATCACGACATAATTAAGAAAATTAGTGTTTTATTAGTTTTTCATTTTCTCAAGAAATGAAGCACTTGCTCAGAAAGACCTGTAAACTAATCATTTTCAAAATTTTCCAATTTCGATATTATACAAAATAGCATTAACCCTAAAAATTCACAGCCCAGAGAGAAGGAAATGTCCATCAGACGGCCTGTCTATATGCAATGATCTTTAACAATTTTCCAAGAACTACGAAAGTCATAGGAAGAAAAAGAAAGGAAATTAGGAGATAAGGAGTATAAAGTTATCTTATTTGAATCCTAACGAAAACCCAATAAGCTCACAAAAAAATGTCAATCCAGTGTTTAAAAGAGAGAACGAAAGAGACATTAAAAGTGTTCCAACATGGTAGGGTCCCTCTCGAGAGGTCTTAACCCCCAACAGAAACTGAAATACTTCCCAGGGGCAGATCTCAGGGAAAAAGTATTAAACCGGTAATGTTATCAATTTAAAACCATATGAAAAAGAGTAACCTTTCCAAGGGAAGCGCCATTACTTCCCTCTCCTGCTCCCCCTCCCTTCAGTGTATACACGGGCCTCTGTATGAAGAAACTGCCTTGGACTTCTGCAGCATTGCAGCAGACTAAAGGATGGGGTAGGGGGAAGGGTAGGGGGAGAAAACGCTCCCATCACACCTACAGAAGAGGGGAATAGATTTACTGCGGGGGGCGGGGGGGGAGATGGTATCTACCCAGCAAGCTACCCAAAGCAGTCTCCCTTCCCGAGAATACACAGACACTACAAAGAAGGAGAGGGAGGAGCAGAGGGACCAGAAGGGAAAGGGACCTCACGCCTTTTAAATCGGGGTGCACATTAACCCGGTCTCTCTCTGAGGACCACACCTTTCTCCAGGCATCCCCTTCCACCACCCCTTCCGGTGACCCTAAGGAAAGAGCAAAGTAATTGCTCTAGCCCCTCAAAACCGAAGGGCGTCCACCTCACCAGCTTCTTTACCCCACCCACAGAATCAAAGACCCTCCTTGTCTCCCTCCCCCACCCCACCCCCACATCCCTCTGCCTCGCAGAGGCCAGAGTGGGCCGAATTTCCCCGCCCCCTCCAAGTCTCCCTTTCCCAAAGCAGAGGTGCCCTTACCCTTTCGCCGACAGGTCTGGGGCGGAGTAGACAAGCGCAGCCCCCTACAGCGCTGGGGTAGCCGCTACGCTGGAAGGCGAGGAGTGAGGAGGAGGGGGCCTGGCGACACACCGCCGCCCCCCCCCCCGGGAGCCCCAGCGAGCCTCCCAGCCCAAGCTCTGCGACAAGGGGCGGGGGGGGGGGGGGGGGGGCGAGGGGACCACAGGGGTCGAGAAGGCGCCCTCAGCGCTTGGGCTCAGTTAAGATGGCGCGGGAAGTGCCGGGATCCGCCGCCGCTACGGGGGAACCGGCCCGGGCCTCGGCCGCCTCCCGTCCTCACACAGCCGAGGCCCTGTCGGTCCCCCGCCGCGGCCCCTCGGCGGGCGGGCCCACGCACAACCCTCCGCTACCACCACCACCACCCCTGGGAAGGGGGCGCTCACAAAGGGAAGAGAGGCCGCAGGCCGGCCGGCCGGCGGCGGGGCGTCGGGGCGGGGTCCCCAGGGGCCAGAAGGCCTGAGAGCTTCGCGGGTGCCTAGCGCTCTCGGCCCGCGAAGGGCGCAGGCAAGCGGGACCCCTCCTCTCTCCTCAGGCAGGCAGCGGAACCAACTCACTCTCTTTGCCACCCTCCCTCTCTCTCCCTCTTTCCGAGCCCTGAAGCCACAGAGCCCGGCCGCTGCCCAAGTACCCCCCCTTCCCCGACACCACTCCCCTCCTCCCAACAGTCATCCCAGTCTCCAATCTCGCGAGAGTTCCCGCCTGACAGGCCCGACCCTGCGCGAGACAAGATTGCGTACGCGTGCACGGCCTCACGGGAGCGCGCGAATACTTGCTCTGGGCAGAGTCTCCGGAGTAGCCGTGAGACCCAGCTTCTGTCCAGCCTGGTCTCACAGAGCTGGCACATCTTTTTGTGCCACGCCAGCGTCAGGTGCCTTCATTTCATCCTGAAATATGAGAAAGAAGAGCTTATCTGCTCTCCTCCTTTGCTCTTCGCGTTCCCAAACCTTCTGGCCCCCGCTAAACTTGCGATTCAGAAATTTGCCCTGACAAGTAGAATATCCCATTCTTACACATTTTAGTTCAACCCCTCCGTGGAATTTAGAGATAAAACTGCTCAGCGTAATCAGAATGTAATTAAGTTTTTAAGATTTTAATAGTTTATAGTAACTTTTGGAATGGTAATAAGAGAATTATAGATCTAAATCGTCCTGTATGTTGAGTGACGAGAAGTCTTTTGAAACAAGTGCAGTAGAGTCCTAAAGGTCCTTATTCAGGGAAAAAGTAGAGCTCATTTTTTCGTGATGAAAACTTTTTTTTTAGGGAAAAACACCGTCAGTGGACTAAAAAGAGTAATTTTATTTTATTCAAGAATTGAAAGGTGCACCTGAAATGCAGTCTTAAAAAAAGCTTGGGAGCCCTGGCTGGTGTGGGTCAGTGGATTGAGCGCCAACCCGCAAACTGAAAGATCTCAGGTTCAATTTCCAGTCAGGGCGCATGCCTGGGTTGCAAGCCAATGTTTTTCTCCCTTTCATTCTCCCTCCCTTCCCCTCTCTCTAAAAATAAATAAATAAAATATATTTTTTTAAATATCAGTTCTTCAATAAAACCACTGTTATAAATAGATTTGTTGTGTGAGACTTCTGAGTAAAAATGTACTCCAAAATAGTTACGGGAAGATGCGGCAAACTGGGAAAGTAAACTGGCTGTGATCAGAAAAACAAGCTATCTCCTTCAGTGAGATATACATATAACTTGTTTAAAATATTCTCTCTTAGTAAGGTTCTTGTTCTGAGTCAGTCAGTCATTCCTCTCTTCACTTACATTATCAAACATTTTCAAATGGCAACTGCCCCTCACAATAAAAAACATGCCCTAGTCCTTCTTTAGAGGGGTAAAGAAAGACTACATTCTTCACATCTCCTCCCCTTCACAGCCAAGCTTCTTAGAAAAGTTATCTATCTTTCCATCTTCACCAGAAATGATCTTGCAAAGGTCAAGGTTAACCTCCTAGTCTCTTTGTCTTGTGGAGTCATTTTAATCCTTTCCTTCTTGACATCTGCAATATTTGACGTAGTTAATACTCCTTTTATCTTGAAACCATATTCCTCCTTGACTTGTTCAATACCAGTTTTCCTCCTACCTTCCTGTTCCCAGTGCCCCTCTTCCACCACCCACCCCTTAAAGGATTCTCCTCTAATCCTTAAACTTCTTCTGAAAGTTTTACAGCAAGAATGTTCTCTTATAGTTAATTTATACATTTGGGAATGGAAAGAGATTCAGGTTTTCCTATAGTATTCATTCTTAATTTTTTATGGAAAATTTCAAGCATACACAAAAGAAGCAAGATAGAATAATAATCCTCCATGTACCTATCACCCAGCTTTAACTAATATCAACACTTTATCATTCTTGTTTCACCTATTCTCTTGCAACTTTTTTCCCTCTTGATGTATTTTTAAGTAAGTCCCTAGTAAACTATCATAACATTTCACCTGTTAAATACATCACATGTATTTCTAACAAGGAATTTTATTGTAATATAGCCACAATATTCACACTTTTACAATAATTCTTTAATATCATTTAATATGCAACCCATGTTTAATTTTCTCCATAGTTTCCAAAGTATCTTTTTATATAGTCCATTTATCTAAATCAGAATCTGAACAAGTTCTACACTTTACATTTAATTGATAAATATGCCTCTTAAGTGTTTTCTCAGGCCTAACAGTTCCCTTTCTTTTTTGCCTTTCTTTTCTCCTTTCTATTTTGTATGCAGTTTATTTGTTGAAGAAATCAGGTTATATATGCAGTATAATTTTCCACATTCTGGACTTGGCCAATTATATCCTTACAATGTCATTTCACATTTGCTTCAATGTCCATATTTCTTATACACTGGTAGCTAAACCTCAAGGTTTGATGTTGTATAAGTGGTGTTTGTAAAATATGTTGTATCTCCCACTACCTCATCGTCACACTTATCTCCATCTCTACCATAAATTATAGCTTCCCACTCCCACCCCAGACTCCGGCCCTGTTTCCCCAGCACACAGGGCATCTTAATATACCATGGCTGTCGATGATGATGATGATGATGATGATGATGATGATGATGTTGGTGGTGGTTCCAGATCTGTGCCTATGACCTGATGCCAATAGGCCTCTCTCCTTAAATTCTTCATATTTCACACACACACAGAGGCTTATTGCAACATCAAAATTGTTCAACACAAAAGCATCATTAGTAGATACTGCAAAACATATCAGTTATTTAATTTTTTAAATTATATCAAAAAAAGAAAATTACACTTACTGATGATAACAAAATGTCAATGTTTAGGACAGATATTGTACTTTCTGTGGATCATACTTCTGAACATTTCTCTGATTTGTCCCATTCTTCATTCCCCACTGCTTCTGCTATGGTGGTTCATGACTTCAGTTTCTCACCTGGGGTACTGTTACTGTCTTCCAGCTATTCTCTTTGCTCCTCAGGGTGCTCCATTCTCTATACTGGGGTGAATGTTTTTAATCTTCCTTAAATGTAATTTATAAAAGCTGAATGTGCAATTTCTCTGCTTAAAACTCTTCCAAGGCTCTCCAAAATCCTCCAAATAAAATCCACACAAAACCCCTGTATACCTCTCTAGCTTTATTTAGGATGTTCCCTCCATCTTGAACTATAACACATTCTTTTGCTAACTGCTAATATGCTGTTTCTAGGACGTAGCACTGCATTCTTTTGCTTGAAATGCCTTCCCTAGTTAGCTGACATGCTTCAAGATTCAGCTCAAGTGTCATCTCCCTGTCAGACCTTCTAATATCTCAATTTGGTATCTCTTAAACCTGTACATTGGGGTCAAAAACTGTGGGCTGAAGAATGGGTCCCAACCATGTTTTGACTTTCATAGAAAAGTTACGCAACCAGAGACAAAATCAAGAACAAGCTCTTTCTATACATTGTGTTAGTTAATCCTTACAACAAACTTGTGAGGTAGGTAGTATTATTGGTACCTTCATTTTATAGGTAAGGAGAACAGGGTTCAGAGGACTTATGTCACTTGCCCAAGATCATTATCTAATAAATATGTGGTAAACTAGAATTTAAACCCAATTGTGAATGAATCCAAAACACACTTTCTCTCCACCATATTCTACTCCTGGCATCATCAACTGAGGACAGCTTGATCCTATATCCACATTTCTAGTGTGTGTAAGAGATGCATGACCACATGTAATATCATTGTATTTGTTGTCACACGTGTATCTTTGTGAAATGATAGCTCGTCAATGTGTGGGTGTGTATTCTTACTGATAGGATATCTATCCAATGAGACTATCTTTTCAGTATTGTCATTCAGTGAAATACCAAGTCATGTTCAACTCCATGTAACAAATACTTGTTAAATTTCTACTGCATGTTAGGCTTAGGTAAAATACAGAAGAAGGAAAATGAAACCAACTTTTATAGTTACACTGTGCCAAGAACTTTATAAAGCAAGTGCTTTACATTCATTATCCTCTTGATCTTCCCAGCAACCCTGAAAGAAGGATGATGATAATGATGATTCCCATTACAGAGGAAAAAAGCTTGGAAAAGTTAAATAACTGTACATCACACAGTTAGTAAATAGAGATCTATTAGAGTGCAGGTTCAATAAAATTTTAAGCTGCTGTGTTTTTCATTACCTCCTAGTTCTCTTCCTCAAACACCTCTCCATACTAAGAACTCAGAATCATATTAGAGAGATTAAATCTGCATACACAAAACTTTTAAATAACAATGTAGAACAACCTATAAACAAATAATGCACTGAACTAGAGAGACGTTAGTTTTACTTTTCTGAGCCTTAGTTTCCTGTCTAACTACAATAGACTAAAATGCTCTTTAGAGTTCTTTTGTTTCCAAAATCTATAATTACAGGAATGATGCAAATAATGGAAAGATAACTTGAATTCTGTGTGTGTGTGCATGTGCATGCATGTTTAAAAACAGAAAGAGAAAACTTTCCTTTGGGTACTCTATCAGACTCTTTCTAAAATCTTTCTTGGTCATGGTGATATCTTTAACAAGAATTAATTAGTGTATAATTTTTTTGTAGTAACATTATGATTATATATGAAAATCTCTATTTCCTCATGGACAGCAAAAACCAATAAAGTTGAGTATGTGAGACGGTAGTTGGTGAGAAGGACACATCTTAGAATTTCCATTTTTGAAACTGGAGGTACATTCAGTGCATTCTGGGCCATTACCAGTGCATCCATAGATTTTGTCTTTAGGTCCCAGGACCAATGAAGGTAGTTTACAGTCTGGCTGTCAAACCTCACTGAGGCATGTCTACAGAGGCTGTCTGGTATATAAACATAGTTTCACAGGCTGGAAAATAAAGCTCATCATGTACATAGTTGTTTCTTGAACTCTACATTCCCATATAATTGAATCCATTATTAAAATGTCAATCTTTAAAAAAAAAAAAAAAACCTGTGTGTGAAGGCAGCAGATTCTTCCATTTTAACCCACAGGAATGGATAAATATTGGGCCAAGGCACTCAAGATACTCCAAGAATGGTAGAATACAATTCAGTTCAAGAGAAGTCCTGACCTGAAAACCTTTCAGTCTCAGGTATCTATCAGATAAGCATCTGCAGTAACCCATGAATAAGTTAAAGC